AACTGCTCGCAAGTGTCAGACGCTTCCGACCCAGACCATCAACACCAAAGTCCCTCCATCATGCCCCCGTTGCCAATGAACATTCCACACTCGAAAAGGCCTCCATGGACATAGCTGGACTCAAAGTAACAACAGCTCGACAACTTCACCGCTGCTTCCATAAACGCTCCCATCATCATAACTGTACCAACTCCCACGACGATGTCCATCACTGCCAATACCTCTAGTGCCGACCCTAGGAATGTTTCGCTGTCAGGTTCTTCGAACCTCACCACCTTCATTATCCATGCCATAACCCCGCGACGATAAAGTCCACCTATCCGCCCCCTCCCCCCACTATTGAGGAAATGTACAACACCCCGTATACCACTACCTTACCAGCACTATCCCCGCATCTGCACTGTAGTCCCGTCTCCAAAGTGTCCCCGTTGCTATCGCACCTTCATTTCACGCATCGGTCTGGTCAACCATTTGCAAATCCATCGCATCGAGACCAACGAGCCAGTTCCAGTGCAGTTAGCAAATTTGTCTCAACTGTCCGCGCTGCCCCCGCACATTCAGTTACCACATTGGCCTACTCCACCATATATACATTCATGAAAGTCTGCCATAAAACACGGCGCATCTTATCAGCACCTACATGAAACACGAATCCTTCCCATACTACCCACCGCAGGCACAGAATCAGCCCCTCACATGTAAGTGGGAGGCTTGCTATATGACTTCTCCGTGTGAGATCTGAGCCACCTCCTTTGTGTGAAATCATGTTCCGTTGAGGGACAGATTGTGGGTGTGTATGTGTAGAACGCGCAGGGGGGCTATCGAACACTGCGCTCTCTCATTATCAGGTAGTGAACCGGTTCCGGCTATCGACTGGTGCACGTAATAGGAGAAAGTGAGCTCAATTCTTCACTATAAATAATCTGCCATATCAGTGCTGTAAAAGCCGTTACTTGGAAAGCTGCCAACTGACGGGATAACTCGGATCTTGCAGTCAGTTCAGTGTGTGTTTCTGTGAGGTGAACTGGTGGCTTGAGTAAGGCTACAATAGTTCTTTCTTAATGTGGCTTTTATAGCATTCCCAGCCGGTGGGATCTGAGCTGTTCCCCTTTTGGTATGATTTCTTGGTCCTATCTGTGCAAACTACGGGGTGCGGTGGCATGCCTAGGCGCGGGCCCACGCCTTGCCAGCTACTTGAGCTCGATCCCGCCTTTGGTGTTCTGGACTCTGTCATGACTCCGGGACAAGGTGAAGAGGGCGGAGGATGCAGTGCATATCTATCATCACCATAAACTAGTCTGCATGCAAGTCACCGCCCCTGCGTGCCCACCTTGCTATGGAGGACAGGGTGTACCTCGTTGGAATCGACCTTCGGACTGTCACAAAGTATAAAGCTCAATTTGTGTGAACTGATGGTCCCAGCTAATTATTGTGGAACTTCCAGTCACTGGGCACTCTTGAAGCAGTTAGATACTTATAAATTGGTCACAGTACTGATGCAATGCAGTTCTTCCAAGGAGGAAAGATAGAAATCGACTTAGGCGCATTAACAAAGATTACCGATTTCCGGTGCTTAAGTAAATTTCTAACAGGATATTATGCCTATAGCAACTGCAAAGTGCATTTTTTTCCGGTCACATGTAGTAGGAACATTAAATGTATGCGCTGGCATAGCGACTGTTTGGAGGATGGGACACAAGTTCACCCATGAGCCCATTACATTGAGTACCACCTCAAATGTCGCATGCGACTATGTCCATGCTGTTTGGCGGGTGCGGAGCAGTGAATCTCGCGTTACTTAGCTTATACTGGTAGTAGACCTGAGCAGCATTTTCCACACTTCCTTTCTTCTCATCCTATCTGAGCCCGGTGGCACAACAGTCAGGACGACCGGAGGTGGACTCGAGAACATTGACTGACAGCTAAACAGTGTGCTTACGCTTGCGATGTACGACCTGGTCCCGCGCATTTACCAGGGATATTATAGTGGGTTCCTCGATGAAAAAAAGGTAACTAGAAGTTGCTCTTACCTAGATATTGGGTACTTCAGAACACTACCAAGAACCTTTTATGTCGACTGTGGGGACAGAACTAGAAGGCAATGTAATGCACAGATCATAAAGGAAAGTGCTAAGCGATGCATACAGCTGCAAGAAAGGGGCATGATAGAAAGTAGCAAATTTATTGAATTACCACCAACGGTGATACATCTCTCGGCGAGGCTCATCTCCTTTGACTTTTGTGAAACCTGGATGAAGGCGCCAGTCTGATCTTTGACTTCCTTGATGAAACTACCACCCTTTCCTATTATCATTCCGGCAGTGCTATTTGGCACGAGGATTTTAACCTGAAGATGGGCAGAGGGACACATGGGTTTTGTTGTTTATGAATGAAACAGCGCGAAACAGATAATATTAAACTTCGAAAACAGTGCGATCCTCGGCAAGATTGTCATACCAGCCAAGGACGATAATACACTGGCGATGACACACCGAAAATGGATTAAATCCCTCAGGAAATAACAGTAGCTGCGGTTATCAAAATGAAGCTGAAGTAGGTACAAATGCTGTAGTGTAAGGATAAGCCCAGAAAGACATCATACAATCAGAGAACGCGTATTTGTAAGTCGATGTTGGTCTTCTACAGCACAAAGTAGTAGTTTAAGAGTGGCTAGTTGAAAGACCTGACAGCTTGTCGGTTGAACCAATACATACTTGCGCTTATGACTCGACAGCATCTTGAAATCAAATATCGAGTGGCAAAGGAAAGGATAATCTGTGGGGAAAGATCTATATCGCGGACGGAGTAGAAATCAACCAAATGAATCCAGGCGGTGTACAACTAGCGGTTTTATGTATTGCAAATAATAATGGGGGATGAAAGATAAAACTCCGTTCCTGGAAGAAGGATTTTACGGTAGTGGTACTAAATGTACTTTATATTCAAATATATATATATATATATACATCCTATTCACAGAAGCCAGAAACAATTGCAGTTTGCAGAGCTAGTACGCTAAGCAGTCAAACAGGTGGTTCCACTTTCGACGAACTAATGACAAATACGAAGTCGAACAAAGGTGAAAATCTGAAATAGCTAAAAATGTTTTGTACATCCTAGCCAACGAAGTGTTCAAGTCCAGACGGTTGATGCGGTGCAGGTCGATGTAGATCGTGGGGTTTCTCGCTGAGTGACATACCAATATCAGATATTGTGGCTATGCGCCAAAAATTAGAGCACGAGGTGCCTTTTTCCTAATTTTAAAAATAGTTTTCATTGAGGATGACAAGATACAACTTGTGAGTATTTTATCGCCCAACACTTTGTACAAGTGGACTCAGTAATATGAATTGAAAGAGGAACTAAAGTGAAACTAGTAGAAGTCGGGTAGTGCAGGCATTTCGTGTGTAAAAACCGAGACGGATGGTCAGAAAAGTTGATGTGGAAAGGCACTTGAGGTTTAGAAGTGCGCTTCACCCATGAAATTATCAGACTGGCAGAAAAAAGTACACGCGAGTCAAAAAATGAACTGACATTAACTTGTATGCGAGAAATGCGAGTGATTTTCAACATACTTGCTTGTGCCTTTCGTAAGGGATACGTCCGTCGCTGTTGAGTCTTGGGAGAGCTTCTGGCTTTTCGAATATCTTTTCAGAAATATAGCTGTAAACTTGAAGTATGGCATCGGTACTCCCAATTATTAAACACACACGTTCATTAGTGCCTAAAGCCGGGTAAATGCGCAGAAATATCTAACCTGGATAGAAGTCATTAGCCTTCGACATTTTAACTTTTGCACCAGTACTATTTTGTATTTGCGTAATGGCTTCGCCACCCTTGCCAATAATCGCGCCTGCCGCTATTGACGGCACGAGAATCTTCAGGTGAGCATTACCTACGACTTAATGCACGACAAAAAATCGCATACTTTTGCCTGGCTTCTTCGAGGCGAAGTCTCGGGATAGCGAGTTATCATTCCTTACGCTGTCAGTATTCTCAATTTTATTCTCCTTCTCCGAAACCTCAGGCGACTCACACTCGCCAACACCCGTCATTCCCAGACATATAGCGCGCCCTCAGTCATAGGTCGGTTCAAAGGATATGTTAGGCTCAGATGCCGATGGGTCCAATTTCTCAAGCAAGACTAAATCTCGTGGAGTCGATATTAGCAACATGCCTCGCGACTTCTGCAAGCATGCTGAGAAATGTATATTAGTCAGTTACCATAAAAATCAACTGATAACAAATCAAAGATAGGAATAACCAACACGCGATTTCCTTCGGACATATAAGTCCGTCTTCCTATGCTGTAGCCCACGTTTTCATATTTCGAAATTGATTAATAATATTCTTCGTGAACATACACGGAAATCATATGTAAACTGAACGATGGCCGGAGTCAAGATTTGCACACCGTGAACATATTTTTACATATTTAGAAGAAGCATCTATTCATCGTCACGCCCTTGCATCGATGGAGCGTGCAGATGGGTTCCGTTTCGCGAATAAACCTTCCCACTCACGGCTCAGCGTTCATTAGCCTGCCTTTTTACATTCTGCGTAAGCCACCTCGTAGCAAACTCATCTGCCTCTTGATCCTTAGCAGCTACATGAGTCAGTACTTACGCTCTCGTGGACCACCTGTGACGGCCACGGTTCCATCTACAATACTTAGACAGACAGCTTTTCCATTTCAATTTAGTTCCCATCCTATCCTCTTGATTCTTATGGGCTATGTCTT